GATCTTCACTGCGCCGGTCTTCCCGGTCTTCGCAGTCAGCGCAGAAGGAAGAGAGAGGCTTGATGGACGCCGCTGCAGCTGCTGCTCCTCCTCTGCTCTTCATTGTTTTCTGCTGCATGAACTGCTGTTGATTGCCTTGGAGCCAGTGGAATATGGACTGAACCCTCCAGTAACTGTGAGCTTAATAAACCTTTCCTTCCATCATTTTGAGTGTGGGATATTTGTCCCAGCAATAAGTAAAAAGTAACTAAGACACCCTGATCAAATAAATAAATAAAAATTAAAAAACCCTTCTAAACTAGTATTTTCTATTTGATGGTCAGCAGCCATTCACAAATATCAGAGGCAGGGATTTCTAAATCCCTCTTTGAAGGTTTCATGACTCACAGCATATCATCCCTCCATGCCCTCTTGCTTTCCCACTCTCCTTTTCACCCACCATGCCTTAAGGTGTGGTGCTACAGATGGAGAGGAGGGAGGCCCTTCTTCTCTACCAAGTTTGCAAAATATTGTGTACATGCACGCTTTTTCTGGTAAGTCAGGAGTTCTTTCTCATGACCTCTCTTTCATGACAAAAGAGATTAAGAATCACTCTATTAAAGTAAGAATTTGGAAAAGCAGGACTGCATGCCTTAATTAGATGCTGCACAGGGCTGGAGTTCAGGGTGTGGGCTGGTGTGGAGTGACACCAGTGTGGAGTAGCCGACAACTGTGCACCAGTGAAAGAAGTAACTGCTGGGACCCATCGCCTACATTCCCTGGTCAGAACCAGGAAAAATGAAACAGATTCTCAGAATGAAATGAAAAGGGGGAAAAAAATAAAAAGCAAAAAACAAAGTGGACTGTAAGAGGTTGAATTCAGATTTTAAAACAAAACGAACAGCTATTGAGGGGAAAAGAAAAAAGGCTTTTATAACTTGCCCTCTGCTAACAAAGGACAGGGGTGAGACAGGCTGCAGCTTGCTGAGCTCAGGGAGAAGCAGCACGCTTATGCACAAGACGGCCTGGATGGGGCTGGTGTCCACAAGACTGAAGAAGTCAAATTAGTGACAAACAAAGGCCTTCCAAGAAATATATGGCAAGAAATGAGAGTAGATTACAGATGGAAGGAAGCAGGAGGGAAGCACCATAAAAGGACCTGGGGACTATCCTGTGGCAGCAATCACAAGAGCTGCAGCTGAGCCTGTGGAGATGGACCCCTAAACCAAATCAGAGCTGGCTAAATGGATTCTTTTCCTGGAGGAGGCTGGGTCCTAATTGAATCTGTAACGCATTTCTGTTTTTGAAGCTTCTCTGATTTCTGTTCTATACTCAGGCTCTGACAATCTTATTCAGGCTATTTCATGCCATTATTTCTGGGGTTTTTAAGGCAAAAAATAATGCCCAGGGGTACCCATGTAAAGAGCACCACAGCTCCGAAAGGCAAGCAATAAATCTCACTTCTCTTTCCCCTCTCCATGCTGCCTGAGTCCCAAAGAAGCTCAAGAAAGAGTTTCTGCAGAAAGAAACTGAGTTATGTTCTGGACTCCTGGGTCATACGAGCTCTGGTATTGATGCATATGTTTAGGTCACCCCTCTACTAGCAAATGATCAGCAAAGGTTACCACAAGATCTAGTCCACGAACTATTAGAGAGCTCAGACAACAGGGCTGGGTGGGGCTTTTAATGTTCTCCCTTCATGAAGGAACCCATCCACTCAAGCACATGCTCAACAGAACTAGTGCTCAGGGGATGTGTGCCTGTGTTTGGTGGCACCACGAGATACAAAAGGTACATCAGTCAAAATCTTTTAAGGGATTCTCTCTTCTTACAGAAACTGTCCTATAAATTGCTGGAGAGCAATTACAGGACATAGCTGTTCAATAAGAGAACTACCCCATAACTCTCAGCTATAAACAGGAGAACTAAAGGGACCAGCTAGTGTAAGAGTAGTCAGAATGAGAGTTCCCATCCCAGGAGCAGCCCTCAAGCACCCAAATGCTTGAGTCTGGCAAGCCCACTCTCACACACTCTTACTTACTTTTCATAACAACTCTATAGGATAGGTATTAACCTCAAAACACACACACATGCACACACACCCACCCACCCACACACACACTCTCAGAGAAATTAAGTGTCTTGCTTTGTCACAGACCCAGTAGGTGGCAAGAGTGGAACCTGATCCTTTGATTCTAAGTCCAGGCATTCTTTCTATTGTACCCTGCAGGGGTGCATGTCTATTCTTTAGCTGATAGTCAGAGCATGACCAGAGAATAAGGATTTGTCCAGAATCAAGCAGGAAGTTGTGGGAAGGCTATGATTTGAGCACAGGCCTTAGGACAGATAACCACATGCTGCTCCTAGAATGGTTTTTATCTGGCAGCTATCATTGTCCATTCTTGGGCTTATCTTTGGTACCAAAAGCAAAAACTACTGAGGGGATTACTATGAAGGGAACTTCTGAACCTCACCAGATGGGCATCAAGACAGGAGAGAACAGACCTGGGCATGAGGGGTGTAAAGGAGAATCAGAGGGCCATCACAAGGGTGATGACGGCTCATACCATCAGCCCAGGCCATGTTATCTGGTGAACCCAGGCTTGCCTGTAGCTGAGGGTTTCTTCCTTCCTTTTTCTCCTCCTATCCTGTCCCCATTTCTTCCTTCTTTGCCGCTCCCAGCTCCTCTCCCATTTTCTGGTCCTGGAGACAGAACCCAGACCTTCACACACCCTAGCCAAGACTGTAGCTCTGAGGGTGTGAGACATCTGCTTCAGGAGTTATCCGTGCAACGGCAAGGACTCAGCTTTGCATAAAAACAGAAGTGCTCTAAATATTCTTTGGCTTCTCTCCTCCATTGTTCTCTCAGTTGGCATCAAGGATTCAGTCTTGAAGGGATGTCTGTATATTGAGTATTATTAGAAAGTCTCATGATTTAACCAGACCGTCTGGAGAGACAGAACGAAGCCTTGGATTCTAGCCTGGATTTAATGAGTTGTTCGCATGTCTGTCTCCTCCATTAAATTGTAAGGACAATACTGGGCTTTCTTCAGAGTAACAGAAGCATTTAATCAACGCATGTTGAATTAAACTAAATAAACTAGACCTAGCTCTGCTTCAGTGTGACTTAAGACAAGCTCCAGTCTGTCTCTAAGATTTTGTGTCTTCATTTTTCAAACAGGAATGAGAATACCGGCCTGCCCACTGACCTCACATGGCTGCCCTTGGTCATGAGGACCTTGCTCCATGTATGCAGGAGCAGTATTACCAGTTTACAGTCCATACAAACATAAAGGATTAATCTAGTCACTTATGGACTATCTAGTTGCAAGGTGAGGCTTTGTTGGAAACATCATTTACTTGGGAAACTTTCTCTACATTCTTTTTCTGCCAACTTTTTCACACAGCAGACCTTCAGTAAAATTTTTAATAGTTACTAATCAGAACAGAAAAGGGAAGTTCTCACAGAACTGCAAACTTCTAGGTGTATATCCATCCATTTGAAAACAGATGTTGAGTAAAGTACAAAGCGCAGATCTGTGCACCTTCAGGAAAGCCTAGCTTCTTTCTGATTTTAGGACTGATTCCAGTTAGAGGTAGGAACAGACGATATGGCTAGTCTTCAGCAAGAATTAGCATTAGGGAATATGATTTTGAAGACTCCTTTAGGCATCACCATTTTTCTCATTTAAAAATGCCTTGTTGGGGCCGGGAAGATGGCTCAGTAGGATAAGCGCTTGACTGGCAAATGCAAGGATCTGAGTTCAATCCCCGGTTCCGCAAAAAAAAAAAAAAAAAAAAAAAGCCTTGTTATGGGCTTGGCTAGCCCCCGCACACTCCCAGAGCAACCTGAATGCAGGGCCCCGATTGTTCTCCAAAGGCTCTTCTGCGGACAGGGGTGTGTGCCCGCTGCATCGAAGTATCAAGTGCTGCCCATGAAAACCCACAGCCGGTTCTCTCTGTCTTGCTCCACCAGCACCTGGGCCAGATGAGCCTGTGAACTCTGATTTTGGAAGGCCAAAGATTGAGAGGGATGGAGAAACACCTAGCAGGAGTGTGAAAAACAAAGAAGCAGAAAGTCCTGGCCCCTTTGGGACACAGGAGGCTCCCAAAGGGAGGGAAATGTCTCACTCTTTAACAAGGTTTTCCATTACTGACCTACTTCTCCCATTCAGTTTCTTGGCACTTATTGCTAAGATTGCATTTGACCTCCCTCCCTTCTCCTTCCAAATAATGAATATTTCTTTAGTTCCAGGTAGCTCGTATGGCACTGATGCAGTTACAAAGACAACTGCCAAGACTTCACAGGTCCCTGAGGGCTGGAGGCTAGGTGGTTAGGTATGGCTACTATAATATGGTAAGCAGAGGGAAAGAGAGTGGTAGGAATAAAGAAGAAAGTGACACTGAGGCAAGGCCTTAAAGGATCAACAGAGTTCTGCCAGGCCCAGGGGTGGGGTGGGAAGGGAATTTAAAGCAGAGAAACTATAGGTCAGGGTGGGTGGTGGTGGGCAGCACAGTGTGCTCCAGGTGTGTGGAGAAGGGAGGGACAGAGGCTGTAGACAGTAGTCTAGGGTCTTACCTGTCTGTCTTGCCTAGGGAAGGAGCTGGGCTGTGTTCGGTGGGCCTGGAGAAGGGGGACTTGTTCACTCTGAGGCAGGATGCATGTGCTCTTGTGTTCTGGGGCTGGTTTGCAAAGTTTGCCAGAGTGATTTCAAATTACCATGCTATTTGGGAGCTGTTTGATTGTACAATGGTGGTTTAAAATCAGTCATGCTGGGCACATTTATATGACAGAAATGGCAAGTCACAAAGCAGGTTTCTTCAGATGTGGTCGTAAAACATTTAGCAGTACACCCCAAAAGTGTATGTACAAGTTTGTGCGCACGTGTGCATGAGTGTGCACATGTGCATGCGTGTTACACACTGCTGAAAGCAGAGTTAAAAAAAAAGTCACCAGGAAGAGGCCTGGCACCAGCCAGAAAAAGGTCTACCAGGCAGAAACCCAGCTCTTGCATACTCACCAGTCGCAGATTCTTCATTGCTTGGGGAAACATGCCTTGGTGTAGTTGCAGTTTACCAACTTTCATTACTTGCACACCTCTGACGGGATGGCTTCCTGGGAAAAAAATCCTGGAAGAATCCAAAAGGCAAACAGTGTCAGCAGCTCTCACCTCTGTAGTCAGCATTGCTTCAGGAGACTATGAACGTGGCAGCAAACACTGCCTGGGAATGTTAATGAGCTACTGAAAGGAAATTAGCTTTGCAGTGCAGGGGAATGCAGTACACGGGGGAATTAGCACATTGCTAGTCTTCAGCTCCCCAGAATCCTTCTGCATTAGGAAAAAAATAACAGGACCCCAGTGCCTCCCTAACACACACACCAGACAGCAGACACACGAGCTTGGACCTCTGCACTTGTATTTGGGGGGACAATACATTATAGTTAGGGTATAACTACCTTCACCCTCTTCCATGTAGCATGAGCACTAACAGACTGCCTCTCAGCACCTATTTGTGGATTACATGAGTGAAAGTTTCACGATGCCCCAAGTAGATACTACAACACCTCGCCCATTCACTGGAAAGCTCTTTATGGAATGGTAGTTACACAGTTCACCTGGTCTACCTTTCTGTGTTTCAGTGTACTGATTTGATCTTCTTGTTGGATTATAATATTTTTGCTGAGGGCATCCTCTGAGTTTTCTATGGCATCTTTCATACAGGAGGGATTCAATGCACACTTATCTCTTTGATATAAAATGTAACAGAATAAGGTGTTATACTGAACCAACCAATGAAGACTTAGAGCCATGTTTTAGCCCCATGAAGAGCTATCTTAATTCAATTTGGCTCAACAAAATTTACTATATTGGGGTCACTGCTTTGGCCTCTTTCATCATCCCCACATTCTCCGGGCAACTGAGCTCCTGCTGTACACAGAGGCTATATCTGGGACTGGAGGAAATGTCACATTGTAGAATTAAGGTTTTCTCTCAGGGTCCAATAATCCCATTAGACATAGGACAAACATTCATATGAGAGTTAGAACAATATTACAAGACAGAACATTATTTGGTGCCCCAATCAGGCAAATCTTAGTACCTGTTAATGTTCACTTCAAGTTTGAATTGAACTGAGGAGCTGGTATAGGAGTTTATTAAAAGAGGGGCAACTGATGGTTTGCTGGACTAGGGAAAGCTTTCTGGAAGAGGAAAATAGGGTTCAGAAAGGCTTGGATGGGGGAGCAGAAAGGAAGCAAGGCATACTCTTCTCTGGAGAGGACAGAGGCCTGCTGCCTCTTATCAATAAGACAATCCTAGGAGCCATCGCTTATACAGGGCTGGCACTGTGAGAGGCACTGCTCTTATTTATGAGTCCTCGGGCACGACTTTTCAATTGATGATTATCCCTCGGATACACCTCATTGGCTATGATACTGCCGTGACACAAAGCCCTCCTGGTTAACAGGTGAGGTCGGCTGGCCAGAAGTAGGTCTGTTCTCTGACAAGGGTGTGCCTATCTGCAAACCATTTCTTTTCCTTCACCCTCAACTCCATCAACCCCCACCCCCATGAAATGTGATACAGAAACTTTTTTTCATTCACGTTCTTAACAAAGTGGAAAAGCAGTACCTGGGGAAGGGAGCATGAAATTAACAGAAGGCTGGTCATGCCTCTTTTTAAAGAACTGGGGGAGGTGGGGTAAACAAAGGAGACAGCTGGGCCGTGCAGTTTTCTTCATCTCTTGAGTATGCTAAGAGGTCAACCATTTCACCTCTCACCCCTTCCAAAATGAACATCATTATCTACTTGCATGGAAAAAATTTTAAGATCTCCAGACAAAAGATTTAAGTGCTGGATGCCATTATCAGAAGGTAATTGCCCTGGATACTTCTCTTGAAAAGCACACCTGGATTTGGGATATTTTTTTTTTTTTGCTATGAATGTGGGATAATTAAATTTAAAGGCCAAAAAGTAATTTTATACTAATAATCTCTCTACTCAGTGGGTGTCTGTCAAGTCAGTTAGCTAAAGGAAAGAAAACCATTGGTTTTATGTGCATGGAGAAAGTGGTGCATAATTATGCCATGACAGGTACCTGTCTCGATCACTAAAAGACATTAAAAAACAAAACAGGGTTGTACAGGGAGGAAATGTGTGCATGGGTTGAGGGTCCCACACAGACATTCCTGGAGCCCTCCCACATGCACTTTCCCACTGTGGCAAAGAACTGGCTGTAGCCTGCTTGGTTCTGGAGGCCTCTAGTTGACATGTGGAGCAGGAATCATGATCATCTGCTGGACTGGCACCCCCAGGAACACTGGAGAAGCTGCCCACCAAGGACACAGGCTTCAGCAACTTTACTGCATGTGACAGTAATGAGGATGGAATCTTCAATAGCAGAACTGTAAAGCTAGGCTGAGAGTCTGAACAAATGAACAGTTGTGCCTGAGGACTGAAACAAGAATCCTGGGGAGAAGAGAGGAGACGGTGTACTACACCATGCTAGGTTCTGGGCCTGGTGGACTGGGAGGAGTCTGGGGAAGTCCAAGGTAAGCCCTGCCCCTGGAGGACAGTTAGGTTGCAAAGATGAGGCAAATGAAATCATGACACAGAGAAGACAGATCCATCAGAGCACGACACAGACTTTGGGTCCCTGGGAAGCAGCAGGGACCACAGTGATCAGGAGAACAGGCTTGAGCTGTTTTGAACCAGAGTAGGTGATGAGATCTCGGGCCAAGGATGCAGGGCATAGGCAGGGACAGGGTTGGGCTGCTCTGGTGATGGTGCAGGAGGCTGAACACAGAGGCCAAGTGAGCTCACTGCTCTGACCGGGGAAATGAATAGGAGATGGACAGCTGGCTGTGCAGAGCACACACGCAGTTAAGAGGCTTGGCCTTTCCCTGCTAGGCAGTGAGGTGCTGCTCAAAGGACTGAGAATATTTCATCAGAACAGGAAACAAAGGAATTTGATAAAAGGTTATAGAACTGACTCAACAGGAACTGGAGACTTGCTGGGGTAGAGTCAAAAATGGCTACAAGATTCAGAAAAATAATCATCTCCACAAAAACAATACAAGGAAATTACATAACAACCATCATTTGACAAAGCATTCTACTAGCTTGAGTATTATAAATTTTCTTGTCAAAGCTATGATGCTAGCATTGGCATGCATCAGAATACTGGCCTGAGATGGGGATAACTGCCTTTGGAGCTTCTGCAGTAAGTACACAGGACACAGGGAGTTTAAACAAGCAGTGAAGGAAGAGTGTGCACCAGCTTCACCTCCAATCCATAAGCACCAACGTCTTGCTGTCATATCCTATAAGGAGGCAGAGAGTCAGGGAACTGGAATGTCTAAAGCTGAATGGTTACAGAAGAAAAAAGGTCTTGTTAAGGTTTTTCTATAGATGCAATTACCAGTCACTGCTTTATTAGAGGTAGCAGCTTTGGCATTTATTTACACAGCAGGAAAAAAGTCCATTGTTCAGGACTATTTTTAAAAATCTGAAGCAAAATACATCATTGAATCTAAAAAGAGAGCTTACCTTCCTACAGTTAGTAAATATGTACTGGTGACGGACCTAGAAAAAACATAATTTTGCAACTCCTGAAGAGATAACTGATCCAGAGAAAAGGTATCACTAGACGAAGCCCTTAAAGAATGATAGTGGAGGGATTAGGTTGTTCTAATCTCAGCATCACTAAAGTGATAATCAGACATTGAGTGCCATCCTATATCGTACAATAGGAATTATTTTGCCTTACCTATAAAGCAACCTGCCAAACAAAGCAAAGCAAAACAAACCAAACCAAACCCAATCAGCCAAAAAGTTAAATTCCATTTGATAGGAAAAATAAGTGATAAGAGGAACAAGTAACTCAGGGATGTGGGAATTCTGCAGGACACTGACTGAGGATCTTCTACAGGCATGAAAAGATGGAAGAGCTGTGGCAACCATTTGTAGTATAGAGACCTTGTCCATCCTAATTCAAAACAACTACAAAAAAGACATTTCTGAGAAAAGCAAGGAAATATTAACATGAAGAGGCATCATGATTATAAGAAAATGTCAAGGATTATATGATGCAAGGCTTGAAATTAGCTTAAATATCTACAGCAGAGTTGCTTTCAGCAATGGTGGATTAACATACTGCAGACAAACTCCTGTTAAGAATGAGCAGGAGACTAAATATTTTTAAAAACCTGTTTGAAGGTTCCATTAGGCCACTGAGGCAGCAGGTCTTACGGAGTCACAATTGCAGAAGCTCAGGAAGGGAAGTCTGACATTCACTGCCACTTTTTCTTTGCTGACTGAAAAGGAGAGACATGCCAGCCAGCAGTGCAATGGCTTTGGCAGCATCACAGAAAAGGAGGTGTGCAAACTGAAGTTTAGGGCTCAACAAAGAAGAGACGGCTCTTTGGGAAACATGCCTGACTTTCATTTGTGACCTCCAAATTTTTATTTGTGACTACAATCTAGGAATAATCTGGCAAACCAGGAACACATCAGCCATTACCAAGAGGTAATCAATTTCAAACCCTGATAGAATTCAGGTGGTACGTTTCTACCCTGACTGCCAGAAGCAAAAATAAATCTCTAAAGGAAATAACATCATCCTGAAATTATACCTTTCATTTTTTATTTTATTTTTAAATTTTTATTTAAATTTTAAAATACTTTTTTTTCTATACCTTGTTCCACACCCAGTAAAACCATTAGCGAGCCTGCAAGAAGACAAAAACTGGAAATCAGGACAAAATCAACATGAAACAGGTCCATGGCTACTGAAACACTAAGGTTCTCACACAGTGACTTTAAAATAACTATAATAAATATGTTTGAGGAATTAGGAGAAACCAGAAATTATATTTTAAAAACAATGGAAATTCTAGAATTGAAAAAGTAGAAGACAAATTAATAACTCAATAAATATCAGATTAGAGATATGAATTAGTGAACTAGAAAGTGGTTCAAATGAATATATATATCACAGGACATGAAGGAACAATAGAATGGAAAACAGAGACACAGGTGTCAGACATGTCAACTGGAATCTCATAAGAGAAGGAAGAGAATTGGGCAGTAGCAGCAGAAGAAATCATACAGCTGAGAATTGTCAAAGTT